TTTGTTTCGAGTCGGAGTCCCGGTAACCCGTTAAGTTATCGGTAGCTCCAGGTACCCTGTATTGTATGCAACTCCAAACATATCTGATGAATGACATCTGACAACCGCTTTAGAGATTAAAAAGTATAACATTATGTTATGTTTGTTTATTTGTTACTTCACACTTGACTTCACTCTATGAAAGGTGATTTTAAAATAGCCCTGTGAATGACCTTTAAATATCGCGTTAACATCGGTCGATTTGTTCAGGCGACGGTACCACAGACGAGAAAGCATTGATATTAAGGCAGTCACCTTTTTTCTTTGACACCTAAAAATATACTCGACCTATTGAAAAGACGTATTCGTGTAGATAAACCTTTTTAACTGCGTTCTCTAGCGTAGCTTCCAAGCATGGAAAATCCTTACAAGTAGAGAATGTCCGGAATTTAGCAGTGGACTGTTGATTATAATGATGATACATACCTACATACAATCTCAATGTTAGTTTTTTACTGAATGTTCTCAGTATATTTACGTCAGCAGACCATTATTTTTAGTTAAATAATTTAACTAAAAATTTGTTAAATAATTTAATTAAAAATAAGTTTCACGACAGTGTTTTATTACTAATGCCCCCTGCAGCAACTAGCTGTCCCCGTAACTGTGTCTGCGTTTTTCTAAAATATAAGTAGCCTATGTTACTCGTGTAGTACATCAGCTACCTGTCAATAAAAGTAGCGTCAAAATTGCTCCAGCCGTTTCAGAGATTAGTAAGTACAAACAGACAGACAAAAATTGTTTAAAAGAGTTATTTTGGTATGTGTATCGTATGTATACATGTAGTAAAAAGCGGTTATTTCAATCATCAACAGCCTATAAGTGCCCACTGCTGAGCAAGGCCTCTTCTCACACGGAGAAGGTTTGAGCATTAATCACCACGCTTGCTCAATGCGGGTTGGCGATTACTAGAAATTATAAGCCCAGGTTTCCTCACGGCTTTTTTGCTTCACTATTTGTCAGTGGTGTCTAAATAATCTTAGAAAGTACATATAACTCTGAAAAAGTCACATTGGTACTTGCCGTTGGTGGGTTTAGAACGCGTATCCTCATGCATGAGAACCGGGCGTTTTAACCCTCCGGGCCACCACGACAAACATATTTACAATTTACAAACATATTCCAATTTTATTTATCTGTATAAATAATTCAATTTATTTTTATACCAATTTCTCTCGTGCAGTTCCACGCTGCTCGACTCCTATCGATTGTAGTCCAATGTTTGTTAGTGATACTTAGTCTTCCTCGACATACGATAGACATTCAAAGAGAGACAAACGCGTTCAACCAAACAAAGCTTAATAATATAAAAGAAGTAGAGATTACCATCTGTGTAGAGTCTGTGTATTTATAACTTAAAACAATAATTGGTGTAAAGTGTTCGAGACTGCGACTGGCGTCTGTAAGTCGGGGTCTGGTCGTCTAGTCTCTCGGCGCGACTGTGTCGAGCTCTATGGCAGAAATCACTGTCATTTGCAGAGTCTACTGTTTATTGTGTTTATCTATATTCATTTATCGTCTAGAAAGTTTTATCGGAGTACCTAACTCTAAATGCTTACTAGTCATGTACGTTTGTGTCTGGTTCATTATTGTAGTGGCTATCTAAATGATTAGTTATGGATAAGGTAAACGATACTGAACTTTTATGTCCCAAATTGTTTGTTGAGAATTTTGAGAAAAGTAAACTGTGTGATATTCAAAACTGAGATTTTTTCCTGTACTTATCATATCGTAGGCAGAAATAGACACATTATTTCACGCGGGTATAAATCACACATGGGCCTGTAACGACAACGGGTGAATCACAGAAATACAACTACAAGCAATAATTTTTATTTATTTTATTTATTTATTATTCTTTTATGTACACAATTTTATTATGGCACATAAGGCGAACTTAATGCCACATGGCATTCTCTACCAGTCAACCTTAGGGTTTAAGTAGAAAATGCGAAAAATAAGGTACGGAGAATAAACTAACAGCAAAGTGAGAGAAAAATAATTGTATTTTTTAAATACTATAAGCTATACATAATAATAATACGGACTATAACATAGCTGTTTCTACGAGAATCTAAGTCTGTTGCACAGCACACTGCGTCAACCATGCAGTCGAAAGTAAATGCAGAGAATCTTAAAACTCCGAAATAATGTACTTCAACCGCTGAATAGTTTATTTGCCAAAAAATCATGTAACATTGTACATTTTGTATGTATATGTATGTAGTTCTTCTTCAGTATATCATTAACCTGTTTCCTCAGCAAGAAATGAGATTCAAGTGTGTACCTTGGCAATGTTGAAATTCTCAAAGAACTGAGTGAGTTTATACTTTAATAAAAGTTCTTGTTCACGGTTTTCTCTCTTATATTAATTCTACGTATAATATTACGTCTGTTATTATAATTATATGTATATTACGTGTGTATAGCGTCTGTATGTTCTAAATTAATCTAGCTTTTTCATAAATAAAGTGGATTCGACAAATTAATAAGATGAGAACCAAATATTATATCTGAAATGTTCTGTATTTTCTTTCAAGTTAAGGTAAAGGCACCTAATTCCGCGCTGTTTTTAACATAACACGAAAGAACATTATAAATTAAGTATTTATCGGACCTTTGTGTACAATTTTATATTTTTATCAGAAGTGTTAGCTATCAAATTTTTGAAAAATTATTGCAGTTTGTCAGTAGAAGGTTATTGAAGCTGATAAAATAAATAAAAATATAAAAAAGTCCGAGGTACCTTATTCCGATTTAAAAATCGTAATTCCGATGCATTTGGTTCCTAATTCCGAGTATAAAAATAGAAAGGGAACTATGTAGGGAGAATTATACATGATGTTTAAAAGTCAAATCTGTTTATTTTTTATATTACTTAAATCAATTCTGTTTTTGTTTATTCTAGTTTTATTCTAAACCCTGTTTTTTATTAATATTATTCCTTAATCTTATAAAAATATAAAAATGAATTAACAATATCAAACACACACTCCAATTTTATGTATTTGTATAGATGATTAGTATTCTTTCAGTTACTAAACGCGTATCTACTAAGCACATAAAATAATGAACACTCTGTATTTAAACAGGGTCTTAACTAACTTCGGAATTAGGTTCTCATGTAATCTTATTCCGACGTAAATACATCGGAATTAGGTACTCATGTAACTTTATTCCGACGTAAATACATCGGAATAGCGTTTTATGATGCTAAATCAAAGTTTCTAATTCCGAGTACTAAAAAGTAAAAGATTTTTTAATATTATGCAAATAAAATAATGTATAGTTACAATATGAAAGGAAAACAAATATAAAGTACATACATATAATAACAGAACACTTATAAAACCTAATGTCTTCACTAAAATCTTCTATACAACGTATTAATAAAGTACCTGTACAAACAATTTTTGACCTGCTATAATTAGTAAATGCGACGCCACGGTGTACCTCGGAAATAGATTATTAAATGTATGAGTTATTCATTAAGTCAGAACTAACACATTAAAGTTTATAATCATAAAACAGACACCGAAATTTAAAAAAAACTAAATGTCTTTAAATTTGTTTTTCCGTGGTATACATCGGCTTTTAGGAACACACTAAAATATTTTGCACCTAATGCCGCGGTATTTTAAACACTTATTTTCTTGCTAATTTGCAAATAAAATACTCAAATCTTAAGTGTTTTCGATAAAAAATATTATCCTTTCAATATTTCAACCTAAACGAAAACTCGCGTTGTATAAAATTATTACGTAAAACACTATTTGGCAAATCGTAATACTCACGTGCATAAGGTCCCAAATGTATGAAGTGTGCTTTCGACGCCGCTCCCCGCGGCAAAATGACCGATTATTTTACAGTGTGACCATACTAAACTCTCCTTTGTATAAATAAATATGAACAGATAATTATTAATTCATTATTTTATCATGCAGACCATAAATAACTAGTAAATTGCTTTAAAAAACTGTTTTTCTAAATACATCGGAATATGGTGCCATTTTTAGAACCCCTCGGAATAAGGTGCATTTACCTTATATAAAAACACAATTAAATACTCGTGTTCTGTTTTTCTTGTTCTTAATTAAAATATTATTCTGTAATATTCTTTGAACGACGTCGTTGTTTTTTCCTAATTTTCCTGATTTACTTATTATTTTCGTCTTGAATTTGTTCATTCAACAGATACACGTGTTTTTATGAAGTAAGTAATCAATTTGAAATAATAGTATCGATTTCAAAAGTAGGTTCTACTAGTTTTAAAATGATAGATATAAAGTCTGACCTTAGATAAATTGACACATTTTTCACAATAGTACAAAAAAGTAATTCATTAGTTTGGCCCACCCTTTTAGTAAGTTAAAGTATTAACATTTTAATAAGAAGTTCATTAATGATATTGCAAGTATAATCCCTCAAGTAAAGTAAGTAGCATGAAGGTCGTGTAACATTTGACCTAAATCTCATAAAGTCAGAATTTAATTTCAAATGAGACCGCTTGCGTTGAGGTCGTAAGTGCGATGCCCCGACATGTCTGTAGCCGAAAGGATTTATGTCAACATGGACACTGAACGATAAGCAGGTTTATATCTTTTTTAAGTTTGTAATATTTTCTTCATTCTTATATAATTTTTTTATAAAGCCCCAGCGCCCAAACATACCTACAGGTCAAACTGAGAGCCTCCGTTTTTTCTTTTTGAAGTCGGTTAGAAAAATATTTGTTTTTCTCTCTCCTCTCTTCATAGGAACTAAATACTTTAGAATTCAGTTTCAGCACTGTGTTTTACGAGGCTAATGCTGGTATTTTTCATTTTAAAAATCTATTTGAATTTCTTGCCCATGGCAGGAAATAAAGCCACACCACGTTGTCTAGCAGTCAACATTAAACTGAAATAGGTATAACCTTCTTAACGATAAATAATAATTAATGGCTAACTACAATATTGTAAATAATGGCTATTCCCATTACGGAATTGGTTGGTAGTCGTACCCGGATTTGCGTCCGGCTCATGACAAATAGTGCCGCCTGTGGTCGCCCCCAATTAAATAAAACACCCTACGAATATCATAAATGTGAAAGCTTGTATGAATGTTTATTACTCTTTCACACAAAAATTACTACGCACAATCTAAACAAAATTTGACATAGAGATAGAATAGAATAGTGGAATAGGCTTCTGTTAACCTTTTTTTTTGAGGGCGTAAATCATCCAATGACTTCTCCCGCCCGGGTGAGGCGAGAGGGAGTGTCAGAGTCTTACTGACTAAAAACCACCCCGTTCCTACTCCTGCACTTCGAGCCGGAGCCCCGATAACCCGTTAAGTCTGCGGCTCAGGCTTCTGTTAACCTGCGAACGCAGTTTAAGTCGGCGTAGCTGTTGGTAGAAGTTGAACCTAACTGTATATTTGATATATTATACATACATAACATCATAACGTCACGCCTTTTATCCCCGAAGGGGTAGGTTAGAGGTGCACATTATGCCACTGTACAATGTAACATCCACTTTTCACTATTTATGTTATGAGTCCCATGTGAGCCTATTGCCAAATACCGCACACAATTCTAGACTCCGTGCTACTACTGAGAATGTTTTTAAAAACCCAGTAATACTTTGCCCGACCCGGGAATCGAACCCCTGATCCCTTGCCCGGCAGTCGCACTTGCGGCCACTAGGCCAACAAGGCAGCCATATTATACATACTAGCTTTTACCCGCGGCTTCGCTCGCGTCACAAAATGATAAAAAGTAGCCTATGTGACATATATCAATACACACAGCCATCTATACCAATACTTTTGTTTTCCCTATTATTTAATCCGGACTTCTAACTTTACGTCTGCAAAAATTCAAAGCAATCGGTTTAGTAGTTACGGCGTTAAAGTGGAACAAACAAACTCACTTTCCGATTTATAATATAAGTAAGGATGTAATTATTTATTTTTAATTTATTCATTTTGCGCAATGTACACATATAGAGGTAACTTAAGAAGTTTTACATACAACTAGTACATTGCATTATACCCTGTTAGGGCACATCAATTTAACTTACACCTAGTTATATATTATACATCATATATTTTAATCATATTCCCCAGTGACAGTAATATGGATGAATTCTTTCAAGCCTAAGTAACTGACGGAATTATTTCGCTTTTTCTTTTATCTAAGTATTATTATTTTTATTTTAGCTGAGCCTGCGACTACGTCCGCGTGAAGTAGTGATTCACAGCTCCTCCCTCGTAGTAGATAGCATGATAATATGTAGCCTATATATTGACCCGACCTGTTAGTAGTATTCATGCAAAATTTGAAATAAATCCATGCAGGACTTTTTGAGTTCGTACAAACAGACAAAAAATCTATAAATCATATTTTTGGTTTCGGTATCGACGGTAGATCACGCCCAAATTAAAAAAAAATATTCTATGTACTGTTTTCACTTTCCTACGATTTTATTATATGTCTATAGAAGTTAAAATAGATGATATATTTATTACTGGTTAGGTTATAACTAGGTATTATCTAGCCTCTAGAGTCTAGACTGATTCAGTGATTCATTAGAGGCCTGGCTGCTTTAACTGGCTTTATATTACAGTAAGACGTTGCGTTTATAAGTTATGTTCATTTAATAATATTTGTGGAACGGCTTCATTGTGGGTTAATAAATAATCTTTTAGTCATTGGGGTCAGATTAATTTGAAGACTTCTTGAAGTCTATATTTTACTGCTGATAACCGATATGAGAATGTTTTTTTTTATATTTGATGGGCCGACGTTTGACCATTATCTCGCCTGGTGGTAAGCGATGATACTGTCTACGATGGAGCACGTCGTCCTATAAGCAACTAATTAACTCGGGCCTCATTAGCAGTACGCACAAGGAAGCTTGATGCGAAGCGCTTGGTGCGTGTGGGTGGGACATCTACCATGAATTCCATTAAACTAATGCTTAGACAAACCTTTACCTAATAAGTTTTCTACAGTACACAGCCAGCCATCCAGTCGTTTTTCAAGTGATACCTACTTAATACTTATCCTAACAAAGTTGTCTTAGTATCGAACAAACCAATGATCCTGCAGTTCAGGTCAAAAAATACTAGACATTGTTGTTTAAAAGAAAACTTCATTTTGTCTATCAATACTGCTATTTGCCGATCCATTTGTTAGATTCATGTTCACACACCTACAGTTTACTCACGTTGGTATAACGTGTTTCCAGGTCATAAAGTAATAACCGAGCCGTAAGCAAACATTCTGACATGTTAGGTAAAGTTTCGTATAGCTCTCGTCACCAAAAATCAATCTTTCCCGACCTTTCACATTTTGCCAGTCATCCAGGGGTCTTAGGAATAAATTACGAGACATTAATGCAAGTTTTGTAAACCTGAACTTTCTGTAAAAAAATCACATTAGGTAAGTGAAATTATTATAAATTCCTTATTACACAGAATTGATTATAGTTTTACAACATTTTATGCATAATTTTCAATAGTAAATAAATAGATTTCCCTCAATTTTTTTTTTTATAAATTCTGGCCGATTATGGTAGACATGCAACAGCTGGAAACTATGCAAATAATAGAAATAAAAAGAATAAAACAATAATGGCATTCTACTAAGAAATATATAATGCCTTATGGCCAGTGTTATTTTTATTTTTCTGAATAGCCTTATGTATAGGTTACAATTGAAAAATGGGTATTTGAGAAATTTTTATTCACAAATAATAATTTAATGATGCTTGATTTTACAGTTACAACTTATAGAACATGCAGGCTGGTTTAGTAGCAAAAAATGTTTGGTAGCCATATGATCAAAATAGAAAATAAATGAAAAATAAATATCTAATGGCATTACATGTTTATTTTATTGTATACAGACCAGTGACAGTCAAATACTTAATCTGAAAAGAGGACCGTACAAAAAAGTAGGTTATAATAAAAATTAATCGTAATTATGTTCAAGGCCTTTCCTTGAACATTGTTAGATTTTTTGTATTTCGTGGAAAGAATAAAATTATGAAAAATATTTACATGTTGAATAAGGAACTAGCAAAGGGATGATGAAAGGGTATGCAAAATAAAAATGTAATTAGTCGGCAGTTAGGTACCTAATGTTTCTTTTTGTCATATAAAAAAATACTTAGATAAAACGAATCTAAGTTTAGGAGTGGGAGCTAGCTATGTCATTTTGAGTAGGTATGAAACGTACACAAAAGTGATATTTCAAATCGATACATCTTAGATAGTATTTCTCTCCGTAAGAAAATAAAAAATAAATGTCTAATATTTTTAAATAATCTACCAGACGGACATTAAAATAGAAATTAGTCATCTACCCTATTATCACAAAAATAGTAACTAAATTGCTTAATTTAGAACATTTCATTTGTTACGTAGTTATTCCCAAGAGACTATATTTCATTACGTATATTAATTATCGCACTTTATGTAGTACTTAACAACGTTTTATATTTAATTGGATTACAATACATGCCACAGCGTACATACGTGTGCTCCCTGAAGGTTAACAGTGTTATTGTTTACTAATTATTGGTACATAAAATGGCCTTGTTCTTTGTCGTACCGACTCGTAACTCATAACTAGGCATACTGTTTTATTATTATAGTTTTAAAAAGTAATTTATTAGGCTTTAAGAAACTCTTCATTCAGCCCTATAGTCATGAAATCAATAAGAAGACACTTTAATAACGGAAACAAATTGAATCTGATATCGATCTTAACCTACCTGAAGAAGAACCAGAAAAAAGAAGATTACTAATTATATACAAGCTATTTGTGCCCGGTGGCTATCTAGGTGTTACTATAGCACTCACGTAGATAGTTAATGGATAGATTGTGCCAGGCCGCACTGAACCGTAACGATTTGTTTACGCCTCGTTAGATACAAAATCTGGAAACAAAACCTCTATGAACATTTCGTTCAATGTTCGTTTTATTGGATTATTTGGAAGTAGGTAGAGTAGGCAACTACTTGCCTTATAGAAACAAATTCCTTAAGTATATTAGGTAAGTACGAAGTGAGAAAACCAAATGTTTTCCTGTACAGAAACCTGATACACAATCTTGTACAAGAGGTTCCATGTCTAGAGTTTGAAAGGGCGTAAGCTAAGTAACAAAAACAAAAATAAATATCTTCCATTTAGTGTTTGTCGTAGTCAATTAAAAAAATAATTAATATTTATTTAGTCGGCTTTTTCATAAATAGGTCCCCTTGGGTGTCAGGCCGCGATTGTGTCGTGCAGTACTTGAGCTATCCATCATGCCGTAGCCCATTAACGCGTAGGGCGAAGGCTGAGGGCGCGCCGGGTCACGCCAACCTAACCAACTCTTACGTATTTTAACCCGCCGAAAATAGGCAATATCAAAATATGTCTGTTGAAAAAAACATAACAATAAAAAGGATCTTACTGAACGTAAGATTTTTATTTGTTTGGTAAATTTATAGACTTGTTTACAAAAACACTCTTTGCTTTAGTTATTCTCGTAGAAGAAAATATTTTTCATATAGGTAGACATTTTTATTAACACTATTTATACGTTCATAACTACAAAAACAAGAAACTGTGTGTTGCTGTAATCGTACGGGATAGCCTTCGCTTCGTGTGCAACTAGTTCGCAAGTCATCTAAGTTAAGAGAAATTGGATTTTGTAGGTTCTCGTAAACCGATCTAATGGACCATTTCAATCATTCAGAAACTTAATGTTCCCTATTTTATAGGTAAGGAGTGAAATTAATAGAAATCTGTATGTTTTGTAAGTCAGTTACGATTGTCTCGGTTAATAAGCTCATTGCAGAAATAGTACTATACATTGGCATTTCGTTTAGGACTCATCCTATCAAATATTATTTTTAAATTCATCTGCATGCAGATTTCATCATTATGTAAATCCTGATAATATTATAAATGCGAAAATTTGTGAGGATGTATGTATATGTAATTTTTACTGTAAAAACGGCTGAAGTCTGGAATAACTTGTTAACGGAAACGTGGGCGAGGCCGTTGGCAGAAGCTAGTATAAAATATATCTAATTAAGGTTCTTTAAAAGACTTACAAAAGCTTTACAATTTACATTCCCAATTTGTCGCGGGACACAGGCATAGTAAATAAGTACGCTTCGCTTTCTTTCATTTTCCAATCTCGGATCGACTTGGAATTTCATTATCTTCATTTTTCAAATAGCCCATTGCGAGAGGGTAATATTAGGTACTGAGCTCAAGGGAACCATTATTGTGGCAATTGCCTTTTTTCGAATACCTACTTGAAATGGAGGCTTTTAGTCTTTGGTTTTGAATAGCAACAGTTATTAGAATTAAATTTCGGATTGGTTGAAAATGTAAGAATAACTGAATAGCTACCTGAGTGAAATAAATTCGGTTAGATCAGTGATACATGGAGTCCCAACTTGGAATGATGGCCTAGTAATTTTATTTATTTTGGTCCTTGATGTAGGTAGCAATTGATGACGGTCGGCGCGGCGCGGTGCGGCGCGGCTGTTTGTGACCGCTCGCCGCTCGCACGCTGTAACGCCGCGCTATAAATATTAGATGCGGCTCTGCCTCCTTACGCCGCGCCGCCTCTGCGAGCCGGAACCCTGAGAATCGATAGTCCACAACACGTATGTGTCACTATCTTGTCCCATACATTCTAATAGTACGAAATAATGTTCTCGTTCTGAGGTATTCGTATCCCCGAGAGTGTATTAGGGTCTGAGCGCACAGTTTACGTGTCAATAATAAACAAAATGAAATACCTTCATTCCCCCTGTGCTCCATATCGTATGGTATTTCAGTATTAAAGAGGCTTCGCAATGGATTGTTAGTTGTTTGATCGATAAACTCAGTTATTACTGGCCACAGTTGTGTGGTGGCGTAGCGAAGGGAACAATTATGTGATTAGGTTTTTGTTCGTATTGAAGTATTGAAGGAATCTTTTCCGGGCATTTAGGGTAGAACCTATACATATTTACTGATCATAGCGAACGCGATTCTTAATTAAATTCATTAATCATCAAAAAAATTCAACGGGTAGTTGGAATCGGAAATAGAATTTGTCTTCAAAAAAGTGTTACTTCAGTGATCTTTACTTAGTTACCAATTAAGTAATGAAGCCTTCACTCAACTAAACCATGATTAATTTGAGACTTTTCTAGTGCTTAACTTAAGAAATTACGTATATCAATAAAGCTCGCTTTAAGCAGGGCGTGTGTGAAAGGTCATTTGAATAATAGATTACTTTTGTAGATGGCAAGCGACTCGACCCGATACCGTTATGTCGCCGACCTTGTGATTTGCTTTCAGTTTCCGTTTAAGCCGTATGTCATTTGCTTATAACAAAACTTGTAGGACGGGTAGTCCCAAAGCTCCTCTAAGACGGTAACTTACGCACAACGTTTGTATAGAAATGTAAATGATTCTTGACAAAGTTTCCTTCTCAACGTTATCTTAACGGTAGTACCTCGGTCCCCTTTTTGTATAAGTTTGTACCATTCGAGAGAACACTGCCAAGTTTCCACCTTCCTTGTTACGCCTAACAACCAGTCAGAGGTCAAACGAACAGAGATTTGACCTAAAATAAATTTTTAGGGAAGTTATTATTGATACCTGCGTTGTCGAAATCAGTTGAAATCCAGGTCATGCGTTATAAAGCTCGGAACAAAGGTAGCGCACATTGTTATCCACATCAATGATTTTTTTCGTAAATGGTTTCAGTAAAGGATTATAGCATTTTATTATGGTAGTTTCGGGGTTATTGAAATTAAACAGCCTATCATACTGTAACGTACATAGCGACGCTATGCCCCGAGCGAGGCAGCCCCGAGGGAATAAATAATGGAGTTAAGAATACACCCACAGGTCGACTATGGTAATTGAAGGTTGTATACTTAGTTTGTACATCAAGTTATTTCGTTCGAGTGTTTGTAAGCGCACTGCCGTTGACAAGAGACGGTTTTGGGTTCATTTCTCGGGTATATTGTCGTTGATGTTACCTACATTGGCATATGCAGTAGATGCAAACATGTTAATTTAACCCACCGACTTACACAAACACAAAATATAACGCCTTTTAAACCTTTTTATATTTTGTGTCTGTGTGTTTATAATCCAGGTGGTAAATATAACTAAAAGATTTTAAAAGGACAAGGTTATTTTAAATAAACTTTGTAAATTAGATGTACAAAAAGTTTTAATTGGATAGAACCCAACAAAGTTACGTACCGCCAGCTTTCATAAAGATAACAATGGCAGTTGTCTAAACACAACATTCGTTGTTTTTTTAATAAAGAAATAACAGGGTCTCACATGTTACCATAAAATTATAATATTTGTGAATGTTCCTACTTACTTAATTGTAAATATCCATTCCGGCCGGGGACGCGGCTCGCGCGGGCCACGTTTCTGCTGAATTATCCTAAACAAAGACCGTTACTGCTCTGAAATTAACAATTATAAAGCTGAATTGCTTTATTTAGGCATCTTAACGAGATTGTTAGGGAACACAAAAGGCACCTCACTTTCATTCGAGCGACAAAAATGCGCTTCATTTCGTCTTTTCTCGGAGTAATTTGAAGTGTAAACAATTAGTTGGAAAGACCCTGAAGTTTTCTCCATAATGAGATTAGTTTCCGCCTGTAGGCAGGAAATCAATTTGCTGGCATCCAGCCATGATGGTACGTTCCTCGGCTCAGCTCACTACTCTCAACAAGTGCATTAAGCTCGTATTTCGCTGATCAGATTGTATTCGGATCTGCATTAGAGGCAAATTAAATCTTAATAGCCGTACTGTGTGATAATGATAATACCATCGAAAGTCCATATTACAAAGTAGGTACTTACATAGACATGAAAGGCACATAAAGTTTCGTGAACGATGGTAAATAAAAATATATTTACTAGGTACTTTTCCTGAATATACACACGTAGGTACATTTACGTATGTATATAAAATAGGTAGGCGGGTACTAAAATACTAAGCGGTGCGATCTACCTTTTAGCTTTACCTAATTGTACCTACTTAATCTTAAAATCCAATCTAAATTTCATGTCATGCAATGAAAAAGCAAGATTATGAGATCGTTTATAAAAATAAGATTGTATTTATATTTGAGTGAAATTCTTAAGTGCCATTAGATACTGTGGCTTCGTGGAGGAGTTAAATTTAATTAAACCTCTTACTTATCTACGGAGTTCGTTCTCTAGAGACATAAAATTTAAAGTTTTCTGTTTGAAATGAGCTGCTCGATAGTAATTCAGCAAACGCAATTCATTGAGTATAAATTTAATGTTATCGGATCAATTTAAACTTTGAACAATCAGATAGGTAGGCATACCAAAATGTTTTCATAACTTTTATAGGTTCATTGACTTTGTGCATGTTCAACTAAATTATTGATTAAATCATAGATATAATTTTAATATTTATGTGAATTAAGTATTGAACTCAATATGCAGTGAGTCTTCTTTTATAGTCAAGCCTTTCAAGCTTGTGATCAGAAGCTTGGAACTAATTCCTACTGACTAACAGACTATTAAGATTAATCTGTTTAACCTAGTTTGTAAACAGAGTCACTGCATCGATGTCGTATAGTAATATCAGATTCTTGGGTTAATGTCATTAATACAGAACACTGCGCCTTTCTCTAATTTTTCTCATCACATGAAAAGCACAAACTTTGTAGCTGTATATGTTTTTTATATTACGTACATTTATTGAATTTCCTTGTAACGTACCCAATATATTCCTTTAATATTAGGGCATTAGCATATCCATGAATTTTATATGTAAGTATTTTTTCTCTGCGGGTCGAAAGAAAGGATTCGACAGTTTTCTTCTTATTTAGAATCGCGTGGGAAATGTAAGAAAACTCGACGCGCACTGTGGTTTTTCGTAATGTTATCTTTAGTAAATATGGGTGAGGTCGGTCGGTTTATTAAGTGGGTGCGTGCAGGGTTGGGGTTGGACTTGAGGCACGCGGTTCCTGGCCCCCGCCCGCCCCAGTCCGCCTCAGCGTGCCGGAACGACGTGAAAGCTCCCGATCACAATATCCGGTACTGATCCGCAATATCACCCTATATGGATTTAGGACATAAAATTCAATGATTATAATATAGCCTTAACGGTTTTATCTAATATTACGTAGCGTCGAGATGAAGTCTACCAGAAAAATCTATAGACACGTCATCTGTATTTGCATTAGGGTGTGTTTAGCAGACGACGTCTTTCTTCTGTTGCTGATGTTAGAGAGAAATTTATCCTATAGATATTTAAACTAATTTTCTGCTATATTCTTGTTATAGATAGGTACTTATTTAATGTCCAAATTTGTTTGAATATACCTCTACAGTAACTAATATATTTTTAAAATCTACTTTAGATTAAATGTTGTATAAATATTATATTTACGTCAAAAGTTAAGAAGGCCAACATTAATTCAATTAATAAATAATTCATAAGGTTATGCCGGTGTTTTGAAAAACGAGGCCTCCAAAGAAACATTGGACGATAAGGCAAATAGGAGCTACTTAATGATTTTGTTCCTATTTGTGGAACGGTCATCTGTTTATTATTCATAACATACATAAACCTAAGTAATATTATTTGTTTGCAGATAATCATGAGGATCAAAACATCAGATAATGGTAACATCGCCGTATACAACAACCAAGACGTATTGTCACGTAGAAATTCCGACAACAGAAGTTGGTTGTCTGTGAACAACAGCGCACAAACCAATTTACGTGAGAATAGTACGGACTACTCCAAAGTTACGAATTGTAACACAGTGTACAGCTCTCAAAGGAAGTCAGAGACGTTTGAGAATTACTCTACTACTTCAGAAGTTGGTGCAGACAGTGAGGACTTGACTGTAAGCCCTGAACTTGTGTGCAACAAACAGTACCGGATCAACAACAGACACGTGAACAGCGTACAGACGTGCAATAATTCGGCCACGGACATTCTGGAGGAAAGCATAGACACCGTCCGCGCGCCTTGTATAGATTTTAGAAGTGAGTATCGAGTTATATGTGTGTGCACCTACATAAGTACATACACAGGGTCTTACAGTGTGCTCCAATATTTCAGGTAATACTAATGTATATACAGAAACAACACCAGTTGACGAGGAAAGAGCATTTGAACATTCTGATACAGATGAAATGTCTGAGAACGGCATTCATCCTGTACCGAGAGGAATTGTGAATCCAAATTATCCTGGTTTCCAACACTTAGCGCACACGTTACAGGTAAAGTTTCACTTACAAAAAGAATCCTTGAAAGTGTTTAAACTTTGCTCGTTACTGTGACACAAAAGAAGCCCCAGTTGTGACTGAACACTGCTGGACTGGGAACAGTTTATTGCTTACTTATATTTATGTCGGTTTCTACCGAGTAATATACTTTCCTTTCTAAAGACTTTATGTTAACGTTGTTCCCTCGTAGCCTAAATTCACAAGTAGGAATAATAACATTTGTTTTGCAGGATTATTCATCAAATATAGAAAATTTTTATCATTCAGAAAATGAAATGACTGATGACGATGTCGATGTAGAAATAACTGACCTGGCGTACGAACCAGAACCTAACCAAAATGAAACTACGGACTACAAAAATATTAATAACAATAATAACATTAAATCTGACTTAATAAATACAACACTACTATCACCGCAAAGTAAATCAGATTCACAGCAAAACATTGTAGATAGTCAAATAAAAAATGATATACCAGACCTTTTAAAGACGATATCTAAGAATAATAATAACAATGATGAGTCATTTAATTATGATTTAAATTGCACAGATGCAGACATAGAGAATAACTTTCACGCCAAAGATATTATTGGTGACTTTAATAAGGAAATTGAAGATGAAATAAAACAATTACTGAACTATAACATAAACATCCAAGATGACTTAGAAGAATTACGCAAAGATATCAAAGATACTTTTGCAAAACCTATTGAAAATACCATTAACAATATTAGTGACGTGGTCAATCACGTAATAAAGAAATTAGTAGAAACGCAGTGTGATGAAAATGATGACAATTTTAAAGATAGTTTTGTGAATCAACAAAAAATTGACGAAATTAGTGAAATAAATAGAGAAAATGAGAAAAACATTCGAACAGAAATGAATTTAAGTAGGCCTACGTTTTTACTAATAGAAAATAACACCAATGATAAGATCACAGATGCTTTCCTATCAGATGGAAAGGATGAAATCAATATTAATGACTATAATACTGAAAAATTGAGCCTTAACGTGGAAAATACTATTAAGCAGCTCAGTACTGAGTTGAGAAAGATAATTCCTAAATTAGATGAAATGCGTGAACGTGATAGGTTATGGGCCGAAAGCAAAAAAGAAACTGTTGTAATCGATGGAAATTCAAATGAAGTAGCACATTCTTCGAAAGGGTACAGTTTAATGAGTAAAAGTGTTCAGTCGCAAGGTAAACCAGATGTTAGCAAAACTATGAGGCTCACTGATAATCATATAAGTGTCAGAAACAATTCTATACGGTCACCTGTGTAAGTATTTACTTTTCAAAGTACCTAGGTACACATCGAGCTTTACATAACCAGTATAAACTGAACGTTAAATGTCCGGAAAAATTATACGACGCGACACCAGGATAAACTGGTTTTGTATAGATTGATGTGTGGCCGTGTGTAACTAGAGACACATTCACGTCTAATTTAATTAAGCATAATAATCACTCACAACCTAGTTGCGTGTATTAGTCAGTACTCAGTATCATCGATGCAAACCTTCCTCTGCAAAATCTTGAGTCATACTATGCTTGGTTTATGTTTAAAATAGATTTGACGCAGCACGTATAACTCTGATAAATTAGGAAGGGAAGCGCACACGATGTGTTGGTGTTATGCATTGTGTCAATTTGATTTACTTAGTTCATACACATTGAAATTTGTAGAATTCTTGTAATTTGTAAATGTGGCGTGGCACAACAATTTATGTTATTTGTTTCAATTGCGTTTGAGTGTAATCCACTAATATGCATTCATACTTCAGTGAACCCAAGGCGTCCAGAGATAAACAAAGAGAAATAACTACAAGCAAAAACTCTTACCGCACTGCTCAAAGTAAAACATCCGTCCGTAAAAATGACAACACAAAAGATGTAGATTTGGGTAAGTCAGCCATCTTACATACATATGTATCTTAGATATAGGTGTAATTTATATGAATTAGATAGTAGGTAATATCCATTGGTACCTAGGTAACAAAGTATCATACAGTATAGGTTCCCATCTACATAAGTGAGATAAAACATGGGTGTGCGTATAATTTTATATGCAGTTGATAAATTGTGTTGAACTAAGTACACAATCAACTTAACTTCTCTTAATAATTAGTCACACAGGAAACAGGGTAATGACAATTAGGTAACTCAGTGTAAGACACAATCTCCTACAAAGTGATCACCTACTGCCATTAAAGTGGGGATTGTATCTAGAGGTAAATGTTAAGTAAGTAGGTACAAACTACAAAGTAAGAGCTTAGTGCAAAGTGTGAGTATTGAGTTATGCTTCGACACCTGTGTGCAGGTTCGACCAGAGTGTTACCACCGTTACATAAAAAGCCGGCGTGAAACAAAGCTTGCGTTAGTTACAGTGCCCTAATTCTCCGTTCTTTTTATCGGTAACAATCGGATAGACGCGGCAAAAGACTTCATTAAACGCGGTTTTAGGATTTTAATTTAATCTAAGTAAAATATAAATAAACAAATGGAGCACTTACTTGCATAGTAAGTCGAATAAGTAATAAGTATGGCTATTTCTAAAAAGACATTTTTATTTTTCAGGAAGTTTTGATGTTTACAACATAGAAACAGCTTTGCCTAAGTTAGATTTGGATGCCATTGAGAATCATTTGAAAGCCGCAAAAGAAGCAGAAAGACGGGTATGTAATTTTATCACTACCTACAGACTTTCTACAGTATATATTTAAGATATCAGAATATACAATATTAAGTACTTAACCAACTGGAACCTGTGGTACCGAGCCACTTTACTTAATGCACTGTACGATGTGTAAGAAATACATAAGTGAATTTGAATCTAATCTTAGCAACACGTTAAGGTAATGATAAGTAGAAAATATTGACGTATGTATTTGGTCAGAATCGAAGATAGATCAAAAGCAAAATATACCTAAATAAAAGAGGTACGCACAGTTCATCCTAGCTAGGCAAGATCCAGATCACTTTTCTATATAAACAGGTCCTCAAGCTATCTATCTACTTAATTAGGTAGGTACAGTATAGATAAGTGAACAAGTAAGTACGTAAGTACATAATTTAAATTCCGCGCTGTTAAGTTAACGGTAACCGCACATTCGCGTTTGATCCACGTCTGCCGCAGCCATGTGTAACAGTTAATTATCAATAGGCAGTAGCTAGCTTTCTAAGGTGATTCAGCGGCGCAGCAAGCTGCCAGACAGCCAGTCTCTTACTAAACACCGATTTATTGAAAGGTGTGCGAGTAGTGCTCCGTCCGTGAATATAGTTTGTATTGTTTTATAATAGTGTAAATTCAGTGTTTTAAGTGATGGCGTCGATGCCTTACTTTGTTAACACAGAACAAAGACATTATAAAAAGGATACCAGATTTCTGTTAGATTTATACACAATAACGTATGATAATCACGAATCGGTTGATAACATCTGTTGTCTAGTAAGTATTTTTTATTTATTTTTTTATAAGTTGCAGTAGGACATTTTATGGTATTTCCCAGGAGCCAAGCTAAAAATATTGGAAATAGGTTATGGAACACTTTACGTTTTACGACCTTGTCCTAAATGTCAAACTGACAGGAATGACAGGACTTCCATTTTTTTGTTTACTTTGTTCAATTTACAGTTAACGTTTGTACAAAAGCCATCCGTGCCATATTATTGCCAAATATAAGAAGACTGATTAGTTCTTAATATGTTCGAAAATCTAGTTACTAACATTCGAAGGAAGTTTAGCAAAACTCCTGAAGAAATCCACGACAACGCAAATACAGAAACTGTAGAAAAGTCTGGATTTAAACGAAGTTTACATCTTTTCAAAACGAAGTTGTTTTATAAAAACGACTGTGAAAATGTTCAAGTAGAGAATTGTGACGACACTGTGCTGAGTCCAAGGGCTATAGGTTCAGCAGAGTGTGCTCTGACAGAGATTGAATGGCCCAGTCTTGCTGATAACAATCCTAACATCTTAGAGAAATTTACAAGAATTGTGTCTGCTGTTGACAATGTCTCTTACGATAAAAATGTAATAGCTGTGATCTTTTAAAAATATATCCAAAATATAATATTTATGCTTACTTCTAATGCAAATGCCCTAACATTTAATCATTCATTTATTAGTTATAGTTATGTGTTGTTAAAAATTAAAACATTAAAAAAAATTGCCACATGGTTTGGCTAGGCAAATATTTGAAAGTATTGTTGATTTCAGAAACGCAATGATAGAGAGGAGATCAGGAGACGGCTGGCTATGGGAGCAGATGCTGAGGAGTACTACAGTATGGGACACACAGACCGACCAGGAAAGAAACCAAGTCTCCATTCACGACTTCAAAGTGGTAAGAGACCATGTTTGTTATCATATACACAGTGGTCAGCAAATCAACCTACCTACTCCAATCTCTAGATTTTCAACTCAATTGTTTTGATATAAGGTAAAAGATCCAAAGAAAAAGATTTAATAGATTGGATTATGTTTATCGGCAGGCTGGCCACCGGCACACACATACTGGTGGTTTTCATGTAAAATAAGATTAATTAACTGTGTAAATAATGTCACTAGCAATTTATGCAGCACCCAATTAAATTTCTTGATAGTTAATCTTGTTATTTTGTAAAGTTATCCTTGTTTTGAACACTGACTACCTGTGATAAAGTATTGTTATTTAATAATCACATAAACAAAATGGGTTGTATGTAACTAATCAAATTATACATTTTCATTTACTAAACCACAAAAATTTCAAGTCTCTTTATTATACTTAAATCCATCTTGTAGGTACAACTTGCATTTCAAATAAATTATGTAGTAGAATAAATGCAAAATAAAAGAGAAATTAGTTTTAAATATGTAGGCAAATGAAAGTAATCTTTTTTATCTGTAGTAGTAAATGCAAATTGTATGTTACATGTTCCAAATTCAAATTTCAAATCATTTGTGATGTTCTCATACTAAATGTGTTGTGATGTCTGGTGCAGGGATGAACCTACAAATATGTTTCATGAATGAAACCGCATCTGACAATGAATCTCAAGCATCAGATTTTGAAAAAAATTATAATAACACAAAGAGTTTGTCTCGATCGAGTTTATTTAGCAAGTCAAGTTACAACCATCCGTACCAAACGAGACCTTTGTCAGTTAATATCACAAAACATGACAAAATAAGTACCGTGCAGAGTGGTGAGTACATCCTGTTTATTGTTTCATGCTTGGGTCATTGTGTGTGCACATAATTGATTTAACATTAACACCATTGCGGAATACTTCACCGTACTTAACTTTCCACATTTCGCCTTTTCAATTCTATTGTGATTGTAAAAATGAAAGTTATATTACTTGTACTAATAGATAGAAATTATCTTTTATTGTAGGTGTACTTTGTAAGCAATTTTGTTTTTAAGTTATAACCATATAGACTTGCTTTTAAATCTCATAACTTTTTACCAGTACCTTGTTTCTTCCATAAGTACATATAGGTATAAATATTGTTTCCAGGAGCAAAGTTACGACCAACATCCCTTTCATTAAAGACAAAGTCCAGGTCATCACACTCTTTGGGCCATATTGAGATAAAGGAGTCTGATTTCTATGTACTGCAAGCTACCTTACAGACTGAGGCCAGGGTCGCACTGGCACAGGCGAAAGAAATGGCTCGCATACAAATGGAGGTATGAAACTTAAACAGAATTACATTAAAATCGTCGAAATCCTAACTAATATTATAAATCGGAAAGTGAGTTTGTTTGTTTGTTCCGCTTTCACGATTTTTTGCAGACGTAAAGTTAGAAGTCCAGATTAAATAATAGGGTACTTTTTATCCCGGAAAAATTGATATTCCCGAGGGAAAACAAAAGTATTGGTATAGATGGCGCTGTGTATATTGTTATATGTCACATAGGCTACTTTTTATCATTTTGTGACGCGAGCGAAGCCTGGGGTAAAAGCTAGTAATATTATATTTTTGTAATTTTCTGAGTAACTTATGTTGTTTTATTGCAGCGCGAACGGCGCAGTAGGGCAGTGTCGCCCGTGACAGAAATGCTCCGGCGCAGCATGGAGAAGGCCAACGCGCCGCTCGCCCCTGACAGGCGCCGAGTGTCGCGGCAACTACTCACCGATATGAACATAGCTCAGTTGCAGGTCTGTTTTTCATGCAGTTACTAGCTATTCTTTTTTTATCCCCTGTTCGGCTCCTATCGATTGTAGTGCGATGTTTTATGGGCTATCCGTTCAGATTAACAGAATTAATACAAAAAAGATAATTTTGAATTCGAACCAGGAGTTTGGAGATTAGCGCGTTCAACCAACCATGTCCTTCAGCTGTGTAGGTAATAATTAGTATGGATAAGAATAAAAACGTTTTTTAATGGTTAAAACTACAAACAAGTCTGCAAAAATCGTCGAAAAAAGTTAACGTAACGACTTGATATCATCTTATTAAGTAGAAAGGCGTCGCGGAGAACCTAACGGGTTACCTGGGCTCCGGCTCGACGTGCAGGAGAAGGAACGGGGTGGTTTTTAGTCAGTAAGAGTCTGGCGGGAGGGATCCCGCCTCACCCAGGCGGGAGCAGCCATTCGATGACTTTCCCCCTTAAAAAAAATTAAGTAGGAAGGTACCTACTTAGTTGTGTAGTAGTTACTTACATACATGCGGCTTTCCGTTATATAACCTTTACAATGCAACTTGTTCAACTGCTGACGTAGGAAAACGTTATCTCTATTCAAATTAACTTAAGTGCCTACTTCAAGTACAAAAAATACGTGTAGCAACCTTGAACTGGCTACCCGCGTTTTTCATAGGTACCTAATGTTACAATTTGCGGGAAATTGTACCTTGCTACCTAATACATAGTTTTCAAAGTTATTCAGGACGAATGAATATGCATTAGTGTTCCCACGCTCTCTGTCACTACTTACGAAACGAAGTTATTTATGGATATCAGCAGCCTCCCACTTGTTTTATTTTCGATATTGGAGCCTTAAGCTTGTGTGAGTCATTCGTCTGTCTTCATGCGACATTCGTTACCATTCTAAAGATTATGATCGCACACATCTAGAATGCTGAACGTAGGTAAACGTGCAATATTATATTAGGTATTTTGATTGCCGTTTTTATGAGACTGCTTGTCGCGGCCTTGAGGATCAAGATCGCTCCAGCGCGTGCTGATTCATGCACACAAACACTAATACAATGGATTTATCCACCACAATGACTATTGTTAAAGATTCTGATAGTTTTTTGTCGTATTCTTTAAGAAGATTTTGTATTCAAATGCAGAAAGTAGTACTGTGGTAGTGCTGTATAGCGAGTCCTTCGTATTTACGGTTTAGCTGCTCATTTCTTTATTCACGAGATAATCTGGCTGACTTCCAAAAGTATAAGTTAGTTTACATAAAAGTTGGCTGGGAAACGCTAGTACGGGCTCGTAGCTATTATCGAATTAACTGTTAACGCCGAGAAGCGGATTTTGTTTCGGTTTATAAACTTACATGCCTACTATAATTAGTCAAACTAATGGTATTAAATAACCGTTAGACCCAGGTTTTAAGAAGTGGATTAGCAAGCAAAGAGTGCTAAACCACAGGCGGCTAAAACAATTTCTCCATCAATAGAGCGATGTAGACGTCGCGTTGCGTCAGCGTCATTAGTCTGGCTGCCTGCCATGTACTCAATACAAATAATAAAAAAAACCTTAATCTTCTATAGAGCTTCGCTGCCATAATATACGTATAATTAAATAGCAAACAGAGGCGAGATTCACTTTCGCATTTAAAATATTAGCATACCGTGTAATAAATGCGTGGGTTGTTGTGTAATTGCCTTTAGTAATTGACATGGAATCATTGAACTCGTCACGTTTTCAACTTTAATTCGTACATCATAAGGTTCAATGTTGTCCTTGATGGGTAATTTAGCTGCATGTAATTACTTCAGACACCGTTTGCTGTTTTTATGGTTGTAAAGATTAATGCATAAACTTTCCAACCGTGCATTATAATAATAGGTAATGTCTTGGAGATTTTATATCAGAGACGTACGTAGGTGCCTATCTACTGTTATTATAAAAACGTAACAGCTTATAGAAGTTTGTAAAGAATATGCAGTTGATGATGTTGCCTGTTATGTCAGTAGTCTAATTGTAATTGTTTTCGTCTATAATAGGGCTAAACATAGCTTAAGAAGTCTGCTATGATTACCAATAAATGATATATTTAACCTTTGGAAATTAAACTCGAAATACAACTCAACAAAGTTACCCTGCCACTCATTACAAGGAAAATATAACTTTGATGATAAAATTGCACGCGGTAAAGATGCCAATAAATAATATTAGTAAGCAGTAATAATATTACTGTCGCTGTTGTTATGTATGCTCTCTGTTATCTCCTCCGTGGCCAAACAACATTATCAAGGGCCCGGGACTGGAATAACTTTAGTTCAATATGTTTATTTAAGTTATTTATGTAAGTGAAGTTATACTGATAATCGATGTGACCGCGTCCTTTAAGTTTCCTAACATTAGTTAAATGAATGAGATTCATTATCACCAGAAGCTTTAGTTCACTGTTCAATAAAGTTCCCTATCTTATGAGGGGTTTGCTTTGCCCTTTAACCCGTCGAGCGTCCGCGTTCCTTATGCATTTCCTTATCCTTATGCATGCAAGAAAATGCATTTATTTGGCCATTGGCACACGAAAACAAGGATCATTACAATAGTAATAAAACAAATACAGTCAAAATAAAAACAAAACATTAATAATAGATTTTATGAAAGAGAAAGCAGCATGGAGCATTTTTTCTTATGATCCACCGGGTGCTCATAAGGACGCTCGAGGGTTTAATACCCGTTTGGCAGGCGAATTGGGAGTGTCAGTTTGGTAAGCGAAATTTCCCAAGAGAGAAGTAGGACTTCCGACAGATGTGTTGTAACAGGCATTGCTTATAGGTGCTTATGGTGGCCACCGGGTTGATTTAAGTGAGGTTAAAGTTACACACTCCCTTGTTAAGTGAAACTAAAGTTCAATTCACCCAAAGTTTAAAAGGATGCGTAAGCCCGTTCTTTAGAAGTCGTAGTTTTAGCACAATAAAAGATTATTGACGTAAATACATAATTAATGCTTTCATGTTTACAGGTGATAGTGAATGAGCTGCACTCTCAGATCGAATCGCTCAATGACACGCTCGTCAAGATGCTGATGGCTCGGGATGAGCTGCACATGGGGCAAGACTCCATGCTCGTCGACATTGAGGACTTGACGCGCTATCTGTAAGTTACAAATTAAATAAGTCCTACATGAAATAAAGTGTACATCAAATCTCATATTTTAACCCTCTGAGTACCGTCATTATAGACACAATTAAAGAACAATAGGTTGCGGTCACCGGTGTCCTCGCGGTGTTTGACAGTTTAATTGAATGGTTGAAAATGTCCCATTTTTCACCAGACCTGTTGTGAGTTTCGTAGGATATCAAAAAATAATAATACGTGACTGTGTGTGGCCAAAAACTTAACGATCATAATACAGTGCCAAGTTTACTAAAGATTGATTTTAAGACGTTTCGAGTTATTTGAATTGACTTATACATATAAAAGAAAAATATATAGAAAAAATCCCATTATTCTGATTTGAATTCTACATATACATGTTACAATTGAAAAACACATTTTACCAATCTTCAGATTTTTTAAGGAAATAAAACTGTCGCATATCTTCTAGTTCCAATAAAAACTTAAAACTAGAACGAGCAAGCACAATACAGTATTCAGCCTTTGAAAGTTTTTATTATCTTTGTTATAAGGTAATAGTGACGTCATACTTTACTTTGTTGCTACTAAGGAGTTACACTAAAAAGGCAAAAAGTCAAGGAAAAAAACCCAAGATTTATAATAATTGAGGTTTTTACTGTTTTTGTTTTAATATATTATCATGTTGTATGTGTTTATTTTGTCTTGGACGTAGATATTCGACTTTCAATTTATGTGATCGAAATGCCGGAGAGTCTGAGATCCCGGAAAATGAGGCTCAAGAACCTTCCGAAGAACTTGCTGTAAAAGATGTTATCTAAGTTATTCACAAACTTTCATTTAAACGATCAAACATTTATTATAGTATTAGATTCTCATCTTAGCTCAAACAAAAGTAATTAGATGTTATACTTAATATCTTTGACTTTTTTTTTTAAATAAGACTAACACCCGAATACTGAAAGGCCCAATTTCAGGTTGTACTTAAATATAGTGCCATAACATCACGCCTTTTATCCCCGAAGGGGTAGGCATAGGTGCACCACTATACAATGTAACACCCACTTTTCACACACACTTTACGATTATGTTATGAGTCCCATGTAATAGGGGGTGAGCCTATTGCTATATACCGGGCATAATTCCAGACTTCGTGCTACTACTGAGAATTTTTTTTAAATCCAGTGAACTTTTCCCGACCAAATCGAACCCGAGATCCCTTACCCGGCAGTCGCACTTGCGACCACTCGGCCAACGACGCAGTCATCGATATCGTGCCAACTCTATCATTTTACAAAGAATTTGTAGTGACAGAACTATAGTTAAGCGCGACTTAAATTTGAATGACGTTTGAGTATTTCAGCGTAAAGATATAAAAATAGACTAATTTAGTAGTTTGTATTTATATGTTTATATGCATATTGTAATATTCTACCCATAAGTAGATATTAACTGATGTTAGATAACTAGTTAAAGTAACTGTACTGAGGGTACGAGGTTTTAGCATGAGAATGTTAACGAGATCGAATCGAGACCGCGTTCGATGCTCTGATTGGTTGGTTCATTTTAGCCGGCCAATCAGAGGCATTAATACGAGTTTGTTTTACGTTTAAAGTAATCGAAAAATCGCTCTGATTGGTCGGCTCCAATGAACTAACCAATGTCTCGTTAAACTGTGTAACTAGTCTCGTTTATATGTAGTGTAAATACAGCTTTATATTGATACTGTCACGATTAACTTAATGCCGTAATTAATTTTCCTAATTTTTTCCAGGGGCGTCAAGGAGCAGACTAAGAAAACCAAAGGCGCTACTAAACCGGCTATGAGGAGGCTCACATCTTTAGTGCACAAATAAGTACACAATATCTTAACATTAGGCTTATTATAACTGCGATCTATCTATCTAGTACATACACAGGTCGTCACTTGGACATGTAAGGCAGTGCGAGAGGTAGATATTACACTAACATTGAATAACTTTCTAATATTAAATGCTCGTATGAAATGAATGGGAGGCAACGATTCTATATACATGTGTCTTTGTAAATACACCACATGATTGTCACATATTATGAACGTTTACACTAAATTGTAGGACTAAAAACACTATGTATAGAACTGTTGCATTTACTTTGAACATTCATATAAACCATTTAATTAGGTTTATTTTTATTGGATTTTCAACTTTATTGTTTTGGTATAACGTCGAATATCCAATGAAAAAATTTACAGATTGGAGTATGTTTATCAGATGGCGACTGTACTACGAAAATGGTTTTAAGAACTAAACAAATAATTATTTCCGAATACCAGTGAATAACGAGTATCCAAATATCTATATACTGTGTTTTATCTATCTTCGCACTGTATTCCTATATTAAATCCGATATTGTCGTATAATTTTTGTGACAGCATAACAAATGTTCAAGGTCGCGGCTGGAGCCGAAACGAATTTAGTGTGGCAACTGTAAAGTTACGACATTGTTTGAGATAAAACTGAAGTAGATGTATTAGCAACGGATACACTTGATTGCATTTACTAGTCCACCGGTACAAAATAAATGGAAAAGGTTCTGAACAACTCAATACATGTTTACGGAGGCTGTTTTGAACTTCGTGTAGGTGATATAATAAATTCAACTGTATGTCAATATATTTTAATGAGCGGTATATTTTTTAACTCACCATATACCAGTGATACAACATTGTTATTCAACCTCATTGATATACTCAGGCCTATGACATACGGAAGAACTTTGCTGGTTACTGAATGTCTATTGTACTTCCGAGAACAGCAGATTCTTGTGATGTGTTTTCAAACCTTGACCATGTTAAACATTAAATAATATTTCAAGGAATTCGGTTCTTATACATTTACAGAAAATAAAAGAGCGTATCTCTATGTTTTATATAATTATGTACGTCAGAACAGGTTTGCTTCGAGTTACATAGCCACATTATCTTCTCCGGAACACCGCCGCGACCCAATTGTTTACCCTGCATGATATTACAACAAATGTTAGCGCATTATATGTATATACCGGTTCTTGTTAGTAAATCCGTCAGTTCCCCTTATTATAATAAATGTGTATATCAGATTTACTGTATATTCTAAGGATGGTTTTAGTCTGACGCTAATGCTCGCGCCCCGTCAGCGCTGATGGCCGAGATATATGAACTTCTAGAAAGCGTCTTTGACTGACGCGTTACTATCTGAGCGCACGGGTCCTAGCAGTTCATATATCTCGGCTGTTAGCGCTGAGGGTCAGTGTGCGGTCAGCGCCACTCTAAAACTAGTCTAATACATGTCCGCTTTAAATAGATACATATACTTGTTAACCCACCTAAATATTATATATTTTACAATTATTCGCAGATTAGATAAATATTTTTTTCAAAATAGTGCTCATTGTTATTTATCGATAATGAATCTATGCCTTTGGTATGAGGAGGCTACTGTGGCGGGATTATTGTTACGCTTGATTTGTTACTATAATTAATTAGGTATATTCACAAACTAAAAAGTAGACATTCAGTTAAGCATAAAATCGTATTAAAGAATTTCTAATAAAGTATAATTAAGCAACATTTATACAGTCTATGAGTTGAAATAAATTAAAATAATGACATATTGTACTTGGCTGAATGTATACTCGTAACTCTATAGGCTGTCGTCAAATCGGTCATCACTTTTTGGCTGATATTATACCTTACATCCAGCCTATAGGACTATAACTAAACGATATTTATAATAAAACCTGCATGGTTTGAATTTATCTGTATACGATCTAAAAGTATAAAAAGCAATGCAAATTATTGTAACTGGCAAGTTTTATACGAACACATTTATGTATGTGTGTGTATTACTTTACAATGCAATAAGTAATAAAGTTGTTTATACATAAACCCTGCATGATATCTCGTCGAAGGCATAGATGATTATATTTTGTAAACTAGTATACTCACAATGTATACAGGTAGGCATGTAGAGATGCACATGCCGTCGATCATGTCCAGTGATCTTATCGGAGGCTTGTAATGAATGTAGTTTACATACTAAATAACTAACGGAATGCAAATCGGCCGCTACGTGCGATTATCTCGTCAATCCACTCATAACTTACTACCTAACAAAATAGACAACCTCTTTCATATTCAATATCAACTCGTTATCAAAAGTAATATATTATGTACTAATTGTATGTCATAGTTGTTTACGATATCATATTCATACACGTTATATATTATATCTAATAAGAATGTAAATAAATGCTGCATTATACGTGTTATTATAAATATCTCACAGTATTATACTTATAATCACATAAGTCCAAATACATATAGGTACCATTGTTAGGTAGTACTCTACACGTTTGCATTCCAAAGATCTTCTCTTAAATGGTTATTTGTTGTGTAATTATAACTATCAAATATATACATATATCAGCAAATAGAAGTAAATATTTCTTGCCTTATCAAAATAATTTAATCTCGCTAAGCTCTAAGCAATTCGTCGGTGATACATAAACATTTATTCTATTTACAATAATTTTACAATGTTAATTAGTTATGTACTTACTTGTATCGTTATAACTCTGAGTATATTATGATCATTTGTAACTCTAAACGCATTTCATGCACAACAATTTGGCAGCGCTTGTAAGTTGCGCAATTTTTGCGCAAGTAACCTAACCATGTGATGTGAACTTTTACGGAAGACGAAGTACTTTATGACACCGATACTTACATGATTTTCATAGAATGCTTTTCTCTAATAGACGAGGACTAATACACCTTAGTTTGCGTCGTTTAACAAAGATTAAGGTACTCAGTTTTATAATGATGTCACTTCTAGGTACTGATTGGAATGACACCAATATTATCAGTTTTTCTAAGTATTTATAGGCCTCTAAATTAAAACAAAAGTGTATCATTAATGTTAGTTTATTTGTCGTGGTTTAACAGCTGATTGTTTAGGATATTTTTATCATTATTATTATTCATGTATTCTTCGTTTATAGCTTGGGATCTCAAGTATTATTCCTACTATTGTGTACCTATTGATATTAAGTCTCTTTCTTACTTTTCTATATTATGTAGTAAATGTATTGTATGTTATTGGGTATAGTCAGTTTATGAAATGATTTTCATGATAACAAGTGCTGGCGTTATCTGATAGAAAGTTTTGCTGTGCTAGAATTAGTTACCATTATTGTTAGTTCTATTTTCTTATGATTTCTTTCATGTATCTAAGATGTTTTTGTGTGAACGAGGGCTTGGTACGGTCGCTACTATATCACTTAAATACAAAACTTTGACGCAGGATGCATCAGTCATCCACAGATATGTGTAAATATTTCTCAAAAAGAAATCTTCACATAAACTGTAGCACCATTTGATAGAATGATTGTACCAAGCCTAAGACTTATGTTAACTCTAAGTACCTTCGTCTCTAAATTGTTTACTACAAGCATACTATACGCATTTATTTACCTAAATGTTATTCCCTAGTTACACATGAAGTTAATGTTATAATATCTGAATAATGAAATGTTGGAAATAGGTTTAACTTTACAAATTATAATAATGCTAATGTGCACCTTAGCCGCACTCCACTGTAAGATATAAATGTTCCGTAAGCTATGCAATACTAGTATACTTACATAATATTATTTGTGTAGATTATATTTTTGTAACGTCCACCATCGTTACCGTAACAAGGTGATATTGTCAGGCTGATATTACCGGTATTCTTTAAACGCCACGAAATATGGTATTTCTTTATTTCTTACTCTAGGTTACTATATTTTACGATCATTGGGTACAGGTGCACTCGAACTCATTCAAAACATTAATACAATGTATTCATCCTGTTTGCAAATGTTATTCTGATAATCTTCTGAAAACCTGATATTATGACAATTTTATGTCTCATTACAAGTGTGTTAAAAGCTCCATTGACGTTAAAGAACTGTAAAAAATAATTGAATATTCGTCGTTCCATCAATATTATCACTGGATCCATTAATTGGACGATTATAATATGTAAATTATTTATATAAAAAACACATAAAATTGAAATTAATAAAAACCCTTTGGTATAACTATAAAATTTTGTAAACTGGATGACGATTTAAATTATGAGCTCAATATTGAATACATCAACAATAGTTTCCAACATTTTTAATACGGCAACTTTGAAATTCTATATATTTTTGTTACTGATTATTACTAAGTTACAGGGAGCAACAGTTGAATTAAACAGAGCTTTGAACTGCTAAATGTATGATAAAATAAAATTTATGAAATGTTTACTTATGATTGTCGACAAAATTTCATGATACCTAAAGATTAAGTACTTTTTTGTTTTTCTTTATTCTGTAATGTTTCTACTGATGTTGGTCCGCCATGACCATGACGGGCCGACTACCGACGTTCGTGGTGAATGAATGCTTGGCGTGCTTATTGTCAACTCTTACCGACATGTGATAAAATATTATTGAATATTCTAAATAAACGGGAAAGTGTTTACATGGACTTTCATTTTGACTGTTTTTCCTGAAAGGTTAGCACATAGAAAATTCATTGACAATTATCGATTAGGTACATTCATAGAGAAAATAACGATATTTTTCGACACTAGTTGCACTGTTTTATTCCAGGCCGAGGTGGCAGAGTTATTTTTTAATTAATTGGGTACTTTTCTTAATCAAAAATAAATTATTTCAACTGTTCAATACAATGAAATATTAAAAAATAATCACACTTTCATTTATTGATTTGATGACCAACTTTAGTATTTTTCCAGCAAATTTTAAGTAATAAGTATGTTGTTTGACGCTAAAAACCGCGACGTCACAATACACAATCTCGTACAAAATTTATAGAAAATTGACGTTTTTGACAGTTTGAAAAAAGTACTAGTAAAGACTAGTTGGCAAGTACCCAATTGTACAAAGGATTTTATCACTTTATATTTATTTTTCTGCTGAAACACTTTCGCACAAATACTTAAACGCAAGAAAATTATAAGTCTTTGTAAAATGACAGACAGCACGATATTTAACTAAAGTTAAAATTGAGTTTCCTTTCAGTATTTGGGCGTTAACTACCTATTTACCATAGCTCCAAAACATTCTTAACAATATTTTACAGTAATTAGTTTTTTTTTTATATTAGCCAGTGGCAGTGTAAGGCAGTAAGTAGCCTCGCGCATTATATACCACTAATAAAATAACAAAAATATGACGAAAAG